GCTGAGCCTATAAACTGGCCACATTATATATGAAACGAAAGAATTTGTCTTTATTTTCTGTCTTTTGATAAATTGAACAAGTATTTGAGCCTCATTTTAACATATCTGTTGTACTTCATTACTTCAGAATTACACAGGGTCCCAAAACTGCAGTAAAATATAAATGCTGAAGTGGATTTCCTCTCCCTATTTTACTACATTAAAAAAAAAAAAAAAAAAAAAAAGCCAACAAAAAAACAAACCAACCAAAAAAAAACAAACAAAAAAACCCCAAACCAACAACACAAATGAAAGAGTTTGTTCATTGATCTGTTATAAATAGGTCCATTCTTTTGCTGGAATTTTGCTTAATAAGAATCCTATAGGCTGTAATGTGAAGATTGACATTGTACCATTGTATCAATTTCAAAGTTCTCTTTACAATTCAGATTATACTGAGCAGAGTTTCTGTACAATTTGGGGGATTTTGTTTACTACTCAAGAAGGTAGAGTGGATAAGCTACTGGGAGGTTCAGGCTTGATATTACAAAGCATTTCTTTACTGAGAGGGCGGTCAAAGACTGGAACAGGCTTCCTAGAAAGGTGGTCAATGCCCTTAATAACATGTTCTAACTGTTGGTTAGCCCTGAAGTGGTCAGGCATTTTGGCTAGATGATCATTGTAGGTCCCTTCCAACTGAAATATTCTAAATTATCTAAATTATTATGATGCATACTTGATACTTTAGAGTTAGGTAAGAAAGACAGTACTGAAATGTTCCTAATTCTAATTATCCAATTAGTAATTTTTGGGTGATGAAGGCAATCTTCTATAATGTCTTCTTTATCATGTATTTTGCCCCTCTTTTAATAGTTAAAATCTCGGAAACAAGTACTTGAAATTTAGATTTCACCATGGAAATATTACTTGGCTGCATGTTGTTACAGTAAAACATGGGCATTTTTAGGCTGTTCCACAAAAATTCTGATTACTCAGCAAGTATGAGATTTTAAGATTCATTAGATCTCTTCTTCTTCTATCGGTGAACAGCTGAGGTAAAGAATATCAGACAACAGAGGCAGTGCTAAGAATTTAATTGGGCTGTTAAGAGGTAGCCTTCTTAGTTTAAGTGCCTAGCTAAAGCCATCGTAGTCATGTTTTCATAAAATATCATGCAGATTATGACCAAAAAAGTCACAAACATATTAAGACTTCTCTGGGTCAACTTCTGAGCCCACTGATAGTGTAAGAAGTATGAGTAATACCTCATGCTGCACCAGGAAGGGACTTTTAATGTGTATTTTATCATGTTCAGTCACTGATATCTCCTTAACAAGGACGCATCTGTTTATGTAATTTTTCAGGTATGATAAAGCTCATTCTTTTATAAAGCATGTTTCATCTTGAAGTCTCCTAAGCACTTATGAAATCATACACTGTCAACTATTTCCTTAGCAATCTCTTTTAAAGAAACATGATAATTTTTATAAATTATGAATTCTAGTGAAAGGTTTCATTCTCCTGGCAAGTGCAAAGGGTTTCAATAGTCAATGATCCAAAAGAATTCCAGATGCTTACCATACTATTATTTCTCATATAGGTGCAAGTGCATTTCCTTTTTCTTCATATACAACTTTTTCATTTTTTTTTCTTTTTGTCTGTAGCATGAGGTCTGTCTTTAGTTTGCAAATGTTCTTACACACCCATGCAAAAATGTATGCTTTGTCATATTGTAAATTACACATTTCAGTGCATATCCTGACTTGTACTTCAAAAGGATAAAATTCACTGCTTATTTGTTTATTACACAATGTGCAGAATATGGCCACAAAAATTGAAGATAATTTCACTGCCACTTGGAATGTTAATCCAACACTGGACTAACTCTTATTGTGTGTGTGTTTTGAGAAGCAAATGCCTATAGATATTATTGCTTAAAAACAAATGTTACAGATAAATGGAATAGTACAGGATATCTTGTGAAAATTTCTGTCAGCTGGTTGAAGGGTGTGCTTAGTAATTTAAAAGGACCTTTTTTATTTCTTTTTTTCACTTCTATTCCATCTCAGCCTTTCCAGAGTTATTATCTTCAGAGTGGTCACATTACATGAAGTGGGTAAATGTCCACAGAGTTTTGTAATCTCATGCTAGCTATTAGTTTTATAATCCACCCAGTAGTCTTTAGATAATCATTTTACAGTCATTCTTACTTGGGCCACAGTAGAATCATGACCTTAAAATTCAGCAAGCCAAGGCTTTAGCTGAAAGAACTTGCTTTCCCTCACAGCAGGCACAGAGTTTACTGTTAAGTAAAGAGAAACAAAACCAAATATTAAATACATTAGAAATACAGTGTGATGCAGTGACTAAAAGCATTGACTATTCAGAAAATATTCATTCATGTCTTTACTCTGGTCTGAATTTGTGTAAACTTGGAGAAGCCAGTTAACCTCTTTGTACCCTATACTCACTCTGTAAGGCTGAAGGTGGAAAGCTCAAGGTGATCCAGGTCCAATTAATTTTGGTGTTCTGGTAGAATGTATTACATCTAACAACACTAATATTATTTACTAAATTCTTATTGTGAGTATTAGCAGTATTTTTTAAAAAATATTAATATTTCATTTTATTTTACTCCTCCCAGTTGGTTGCTCTGCCTCTCAGGTACACATATATACATATCAGCACACATACAGCACAGCCTGCATGGTAACAAAACCAATTTTCTAGGCTTTTCTAGCTGAGTACTTTGATGACACGTCTGTTACAGTAATAGCAAAATAACCATGTTACAAAAATATCATACATAAGAGGGGGAAAAAAAATGTAGGAAAGTATTTGAGCGGTTTAAGCTTCAATCAAATCCCATTCATTAGACTTTGTAAATAAATGAGTCCCACATCTTGAAGCCTGTATAGCTGAAGTACTTTGGAAGAAGAGCTTTTGGAAGAAAAATCCCACCCTTCATATTCTGCAGTATAAATGTCCTGTGGAGAGACATAGGACTGCAGTCCCTAGGCTTGCCAATTCCTTATCTTTTGAATGTTAAATTAATATTTAAATCTATTTATTCAAAGTTGACTTAACCACTAGAATAGGAAAGATCAGACAAATCAGTTGCAAGAAATGAAGTATGAGGAAACCAGAACTCGTTGACAAAGTATTCCTTGGAGTAAACATGTTGAATGAAGCCATTGAGTAAATGATAAGGGCCTTTGCGCTCTGGATGTAAGAAAGCAATTTATCAAGAATACATGAACTCTCCAGTGACCATAAACCAAGAAGAAACCAAAGTACAGGAGAAGGAGTCCCTATAAAATTATTTTAAATGCTCAGAAAGTTTTGTTTAAAAAAAGCATTGAGAAGCTTATGTGCTGCAACATAGTCCATACAATGGAAAGAAAATGAAATTTAAGCATTGATACTCAGTAAGTGTGTGATGTCCTATGCAATTTCATCATATTTGACTTCACAAGCGGATAAGAATTACCTTCATCCTGCAAACTTCCCCTCCCCTCATCTGTAAATTATTCACGTCACAGTGAATAATATGAAATTCACACAGAAAGGTAAAACAAACTAGCCAGCTCAAGTAGCAGTGCATTCATGATAGAATTTATAGTAAATCAGGGGACTAATTTTTAACATGTTTAAAAGATGCGTTTAGGGTGTATATGTTTTCTTTTATTCCCTTAGAGGTTAAGTTTCAAACCTGTAACAGACCCAATTAATTCTGCATAGCTTCAGTCTTGGTCATCAGTTAATCATAACTTCTCTGTAACTTCTTTTGAATTTAGGAGTATTGTAGTCTCTCAGGATCAGCTGAGCACCCTTCTGCTGTAGGAATTAAAGTTAATTGTGACCTTTGGAAATTCTGCCTGTTTCAGAATGCATCTGTGAAAAAGAATCACTCAGTGATGAGTGGTGTCCCTCAGAGGTCCATACTGGGACCAGGACTATTTAGTATCTTCATCAGTTACATACACAGTGGGATTGAGGGCACCCTCATCAAGTTTCCAGATGACACCAAGCTGAGTTGTGTGGTTGACACGTCTGAGAGATGGGGTGCCATTCAGAGGGACCTGGACAAGCTCAAAAAGTGGGCCTGTGTGAACTTCATGAGGTTCAACAAGGCCGAGTGCAAGGTGCTGCACCTGGGTTTGCGGCAACCCTCTGTATCAATACAGACTGAGGGATGAAGGGATTGAGAGCAGCCCTATGGAAAAGGACTTGGGGTGGGTGAAAAGCTGGACATGATCTAGCAATGTGCTCTTGCAGCCCAGAAAGCCAACTGTATCCTGAGCTGCATCAAAGAAAGTGTGGCCAGCAGGTTGGGGGATGAGATTCTGCCCCTCTGCTCTGCTTTGGTGAGACCCCACCTGGAGTACTGTGTCCAGCTCTGGGACCCCCAGTACAGGTAGACATGTGCCTGTTGGAGCAGGCCCAGAGGAGACCACAAAGATGATCGGATATCTGGAACACCTCCCCTATGAGGACAGGCTGAGGGAGTTGGGGTTGTTCAGCCTAGAGAGTTCTCTAGGGAGACCTTATAGCGGCCTTCCAGGACTTAAAGGGGGCTTATAAGAAAGACTGGAACAGACTTTTTAATACGGCTTGTAGCAATAACACAAGGGGTACTGGTTTTAAACTAACAGAGGATAGATTCAGACTAGATAGAAAGAAGACATTTTTTATGATGAGGGGAGTGCAACACTGGAACAGATTGCGCAGAGAAGTTGTAGATGCCCCAGCTCTGGAAATATTCAACGTCAGGTTGGATGGGGCTCTGAGCAGCCCGCTCTAGTGGAAGATGTCCCTGCTCACTGCAGGGTAGTTAGACTAGATGGTCTTCAAAGGTCCCTTCCAACCCAAACCATTCTGTGATTCTGTGAATCATCCATGTGATAATTCTCTGGAAAATAAGTGCATCTGCCAAATTCAATGTGTTTAGATAATTATTTGGGATTTTTTTCTTGTCTTTCTTTTAGTTCTTCTCTTATACTTAACCCCTTTTCTTTCAGCCTTGGACAAGCTTAGTACTCAGCACCTCTACCACCCAACCCAAGTGGAGATTGTGCAGTCCAATGTTGTGTTTGACATCAGCAGCCTGATGCTCTATGGTACTCAGGCTGTGCCCGTGAGACTGAAGATACTACTTGACCGACTCTTCAGTGTACTGAAGCAAGAGGAGGTGTTGCATATTCTACATGGCTTAGGCTGGACACTTCGAGACTATGTTCGAGGCTACATCCTTCAGGTAGGAAGTAAAGCAAAGCATATTTCCAAATCCAGTTAACTAATTATTTTAATTTTTTTTTGTGCAGACATATTGACCATGCACCCAAAGAGGTAGAAGGATACGAAGTAAATTTAGTGTGGCATGTTGAAGACTAATGATGATGTTGGTGAAATAAAATATTAAAATTTTCCTAAGCTGAAAAAATGCAGGTTTATTTCTACCATAGTATTTATTGGTACTTGCTTACATTTATTGTAGGAAATACCTTAAATACAGCAAATACTGAGGTTAGCTAGCTGCAAGCCTGATTCAGTCATCAAAGGCAACTGGCAAATTTTGAAGGGCTACTGTCTGACTTAAGAAACTAAGATCCAAGTCAGCAGCTCCTTCATCTTTCCTTTCCTTCTATCACAAGATATCTAATAAGGGGTAGATTAAATGGGGGGTTGTGATCATGGTTGTGTTGGGAAGTATCCTTACAGTGTAATGTAGAAACAGGAAAATCCTGCTTATGAGGCCATTTTAAAAAGGTAGCTTTAAATAAAGTGTCACATGCAGATTGGTTAAAATAAGCAAACAAAACATAAAACAAGTAAAGAAAAAAATGGACAGACTTGCTTTATGAGTATGGGCATTAATATATATGGTTGCTTATCTGAATAATTCCATTATCTGATGGGTTCCAAATTGAATTATTACATTTTATAAGACTATTTCTGATTGAGAATCTATTACTACATGCTTCTGAGTTCTTTTAATTTCTACTGACTTTGTGGGAGCTCTGTATCATCTAGAAGTCATCCAGTTACTGAAGTGGACATGCCTGAAAAACTTTGGAAGTTCTAGTTTCTGATGTATTTCCTTACTTTCTTAGTCAGTGATAGCCTGCTTGGCACTATACAGAAAATACAGGATTCTTTATTCCTGCTCTGAAGAATTCTGACTGTATTTTTTAATTCCTTTTCAATTTTCTGTCCTTCATGTGAAAGAAGTAAATTAGCCTTCTGTACTTCTATGGAAACCTTCATATTCTGTGTTCTTAAATATTTTCTTAAACACTCTATACATAGATTTTTGCAAAAAAGTCTTCTGAATTGTAGAACAGTCCTAGAGAAAGAGTAATAAAAAGGCTATTACTTTAATAAGGAGATCCTGTTGTTGTTATTAGGATATATGCAGAATGGAGCTCTTCAATTGTTTTAGGATTCTCTCGGGCATCTATTTTGTAAAAGCTAAGTGTCACACATGTTCAAATACAATAGAATCCATTTTTTCCATTACCAGTCTAAAACTTCCATGTAAGTATATATCCATGATATTTATACAGTAGATATCTGTAGATGTTTGTATGATATATATGTATGGTCATGTATCTATAGATGTTAGGTATGATATATCATTTATAGATATATGATAGATACCCATAGAGATAGGTATTGTAATGGCATTATGTGCATATTGCATCATATTTTATATTCCTGGATTCTGAATGCTACTGATCAGGAGGGCTGAAGAAATATGATTTGCAAAGGAATACACATTAAAAAATGCATCCTTTCTAAGTTATAACATCAGAAAATTGCTGTTTACTAAATGCAATTTATAGTTAGCTGTAATATATTACAAGCATTCAGTGTCCCTTGCAGACAAGACTGACTGAAATCAGTAGTTTTCTTGTTTTAAAGGTTGTAGAATCAGGCTCATATTGATTTTGTTTTAATTATCTGTTGGAATGTTCTTAATATATGCAAGAATGGCTTGTAATATAATTACACAGAGGTTTATACAGAGTGAGATTTTGACCTATGCATCTGAGTAGTGTAAATGCCTATAATACACCATTAGGTCAGAGTTCAGTTTATCTGGCTAAAACTCAATCACACTGTAGCCCTCAAGGCATGAATTTTACCATTACTACATTCAACAACAGTGTATTGAATATTATGTCAGTTAAAGGAGAACAATTATCAATGAAAGTTAAGGGCAGCTGTTACAGTCTTACCACATATTGACTTGATTAGTACAGCTGTGGATTGTGTTAGTGGGTGTATGAAGACCTATGATAGGTGTAGTCAAGCCTGCCTGTTAGTTTAACTCTCTAATTTCAGAGAATCACAGACTGGTCAAGGTTGGAAGGGAGGTCGTCTTGTCCTATGCCCCTGCTCAAGCAGGGCCACTTAGAGCTGGTTGCCCAGGACCATGTCCAGGTGGCTTTTGAATAGCTCCAAGCATGCAGACTCCTCAATCTCTCTGGGCAAAAAATGCATTTTGTTTCCACTAAAGTTAGAAAGCTCAGAAAGGAAGACTGCTTACTAGAACATATAAGAAGGGAAATCTTAGGAATATTAATCAAATTATGATAATAAAAAAGTCTTGTTTAAAGTGTAACTCTGTTGCAATTATCTGATATAAAGGAGACAAGGGGTATTCAGGGAAATTTGAAAGGAAATGTGTAGTAGCAGTAACACAGTAAAAGTGCATGCAGATGAGAACTATAGGTAATGTCTCCTTCAAGCAAAAGGTGTTGTACCAGAATGTTCTCATCATTATAGAATTGGAACTCTTCGCGTAATTGTTTGAGGCTTTCAAACCCAGATTTTCCATACAAAAAGCTTCTGACAAAATGGCATGAACCTCCTACAGGAGAGCCAAAAGAATCAAGTACCAAAATAAATAATCCAGAATATCGCAGAGTTACGGGATTGTTGGTAGGCTGTCATGCAGTGAATTCAGGAATATCTGACTTTCAGTCTGGAAGTATAGTTCTTTTTAACTTGTCTGTGCAAACCTGTCTAAGTCATAACCTATCCCAGTCAATGCTGATAAGTTTACCATACATTCATACACATACTCATTGTACATCAAATACACAACTATATATCTCTAGGAAAAGGTTTACATGTGCTATAAGGCTGTAGTTAGAGAAGCATAAACCAGTAAACGAGCTTGTTTGTCTTTAATATAAAATAATATTTTAAGCTTGTAATTTGACGGAATTACGGATATCACTGTTTGGAGGAGAAGTGGGGAGGGAGGGAGGAAGGGAAGGTTAGTAGCTTTAGGAACACTTGCTCAGAAACACAGAACTTATTTGAAACATACAGACTCTGTACCCTAAATCTCTTCTGCAAGGACTAAGAGAAATACCAGAATAGGGAGAATAGGGAAAGGGAATGGTTGTGACAGATTCCAGAATACTTAAACCTAGTTCAGGTTCCAGTGTTCACCAGTTAACGGCAGTGCAAAAGATTTGTAAAGGTGGTACAAAATTGGAGTTTCATGCCTTGGGATGGTCTGAGACATCGACCTGTGCTGAATTTCCCCTGAATCATAAGGGAAGTGTTAAGATACTTTAACATTTTCCCTAAATGGAGGTTTATTTGAGGTGAAAAGAAAAAAGAACGAGAAATCTTAGGGAAGATGTATCTATTCAAAATCAATTATTTTAGTATTGCTAGATATTTTCTTTTTTGTTCAAGATCCATAATTAAACCCTTTTTCCCACAAAAAGAAAAAAAAAATACTTTTTTTTTCAGTAACTTTTGAGAAAAACCTCACCATTTTCTCCTCTCAGGAAACAAGAGAAAATGAGTGCCTCTCCCTAGTTGTATAGTAGTGCTGCAAGGTGGGTGGTATTATTTGTAATACCCTCATTTTCACTACTAATGTTTCTAAATGGCAAATTAAAAAGCAGTGGGCAGAGAAAAATGCAGTATTTATTGCTTCATTCAGTGGATGCATTAATGGAGCACAGGAAGTGGAGGAACCCTGAAGCCAACGGAGGTAATGTGATACACCACCTTTCACATTTGGGCACAGTCACAGTATTGCCAGTAACGGCTGAAAGGCATTAAGACCTGGCAAGCTTTTTCTGGCCTCTGTGCAATAAACCTAATTTCTGGTGAATAGATACCTATCTCTGAAATTTCAGTAAGTGACAGTTTGGTCAGCAGTCTCATCAAATTGTTCACAAGATTAATGTTTTAGAGGAGGAGTTGTTCTCTTATCTTTAGAAGTGATCCTCAAGAAAACCTTACTGCATAGGGAAATTTTCTGGACTGTGTCTGCTCCATAGGCATCCAGAGCACTGCAGTTTCTAGGCTTGTTTCTCTGGTACCTATCTCAAGGAACTAAGCTACTGTATTTGACATGGAGCTGTTACTGAGCATGTAGGTTTTCTCTTTGGGAACAGACAATGAAACAACTGTCTTTACATGACAAGAAATTATTCTGTCAAGAAATTATTCTGTCAACAACAGTAGCTGTTTTAGGTCAGATTCTGCACATGCTACTCAGAGAGATGTGACTAGCAGCTCTGTTGATCTGGGTGAAGTTACTTTTGCTGTAAAAAAATGGCTCAACTGTGAGTAGGTCTCCAGCCCTGGTTTGGTTCCAGCTGAGCTGAGTGAAGAGGTAACTTTGCCAGCTGTTCTCCTCTGCTCCACCAGTGGAGAATACTTCACCCCACCCATTTGCTAGTGTAACTACATGCCTTACTGCTCCCTAGCCAGGTTCTCTCTAAACAAGCCATGTTAGAAAAATCCTCCTGCTAAACGTGTTGCAAGTTAGCTCTGATTATTTTGAGAGTAAAGGGCTAGAGGGCAATTATGCCACTAGCAGTGAACAGCTGGGGCATTCAGCTTTTGCACTGGTCCAGCTGCAGATGACAGGACGTGTGACCACAACCTAGAGGGCATAAACTGAAACCCTTTGCAATAATGGTTCACTGTTTTGAGTAACAGGTCAACACTTTTTTTCCAACCGTTTTCTGATCAAATAGTTGGATTCCCTTTGTATAAAAGAGGAAAATAAATATTATCTTTACAGTACAATGAGGGAAGCAGGGGTATGGAACAGCACGTTGGAAGAATCAGGAAAAGGGGCTAGACCTAGGATTCCCATTCTTACCATCATTCCCTCAAAAGAAGTAGATTATAGCCAGTAGCTCATAGTCAACATCTTGGCTGCCAGACTCTTGGATGCCGCTCGCAGCTATGAGAAATTGCAAAAAGTAAAAA